AGGCATCGTGGTGTTGTTGTATTTAGATCTCTGTTAACTGTTTGTGAAGAGCAGCCAAGGGTGATTCAGGCTTTTCTTGGTGGTTTTTTATCGTTGGCCCGTTGGTGGAAAAAGAGGTAGTGGCTCTCGCTCAGTAAGTGAAGTTGCAGGAGGTATGGGTGTAGTTCTGTCTTATGGGGACTGTTGCTGTCTCCCACTCAAACAAAAATTACAATCGAATAACCATCAAAAAACTAAAAACACGTGGACAAACAACACACCGTGTAATCACACAGGAACAGGAACCAAAAAAAAGAAAAAAGGGGAAAAGATGAAGAAAAAAGAAGAAAACCTGCAATATCTGGGGATAGGGCACTAAGAGAAAAAAGGTAGATAAGGAAAATAATGAAGAAAAAAAATGAGAAAATTGCAAAAAGAAAAACAAGGAACGGAGTTAACCACGAGAAAAAAGGGGAAAAAGGAAAAAAAGAATTAAAAAAAAAAAAATAGAAAAAGAAAAGAAATTCAACCAGGAACATGGAAAAGAAAAAAAGCTAAAAACTAGAACCTGGTAGGGGAAGAATAAGATTAATGGTAAAAAGGACAAAAGTATTAATAGTAATAGTTGTTTTTAAACAGACAAATACAAGCAAACTAATCACCCGAAAAAAGAAAGTGAAAAAGGAAAAAAAAATAGGTGGAGGACAGGGCAGGGCACCCAGGCTCCGTCCGAGCACACACACTATGATGGAGTTCCTGTGGGCCCAGAAGGTGGGTGGGAGTGGGGGATGACTGCATCTCTGTTCACCAAGCAGGTGTGGGGTATAAGAGTAACAAGAGGATTGTCGCACCTTTTTAGTCTTGCAGGTCCATAGTGTCCTTGGGGTTGCTGGAAAGCTGAACCTCTTCTTAAGCCCCCGGAATCTCAGAGAGCGCTGTCTCTTTAAATATCCAAAATAGTCAAGCTACTTGTAACATTCAAAATGGTGGCGCCTTCCAGACTGGCACAAGTCCACAACTCAGCCCACTTTTCTCTTCACTTTCTCCGTTTATTCCCCAGCTACCAGAGCAGTCCCCATGCAGTCCCTGGCTAGCAGCGCTGATTTTTAGGTTAATTCTTAGGTCCTGCCACACTCAGGAATCTCCAAGCTGTCTGTGCCATCAGGATCGCTCAGGATTGTTGCCAGACTGCAGCTCCGTCTTTCTCCTTTTTTGGTATTTTCATGCAAGTTCTTATAGTTGGAGTTTAGTCCACTTCTGTATCCTTCCCTTCAAGGCTCAGGGGTCCAGGATTATCTTCTGTGTCTGTGTTAATTGCTTTCCTTTTTCTTTGTTGAAGAGGGTCTGTGCAGTCTTTCTGCCTAGTCCACCATCTTGATGGAACTCCTAGACCAAGAACATTTTAAATGAAGTCTGAGGGATGGCAAGTAGACTAGCATGGCTGGAGAATAGGATCTATGGAGAGGAATATGGGAGGTGAGGCGGGTAAGATGTGCGACAGGGCCAAAATGTGAGGGGTCTCAAATACCATCCTAAAGAGTTTGAGCTTGAATTTTTTTTCAATACTGTGTTTCAAGTGAATGTTTACAGAGCAGATTAGATTCCTGTTCAACAATTTATACACAAATTGTTCTGTGACTTGGTTACAATCCCCATAATATGTTGTTATTATATTACTCTCACCATTTCTACCCTGCCTGCCCCGTTTCTATCCATCCATTTTCCCTGCCCCCTTTGCCGTCTCATCTTTGCTTTTGTGTAAATGGTGACCATTTTGTCTCATATAGTTGATTGTTTAAAGAAGCACATTCCCTACAGGTATTATTGTCTATTTTATGTTATTGTTAGGTGCCGTTGAGTGAGCTCCAATTCATAGTGACCCCACGTACAACAGAAGGAAACTCTGCCCAGTCCTGTGCCGGTCTCACAATCCTTGCCACACCTGATCCCATTGTTGCAGCCACCACGTGAATCCATCTCATTGAGGGCCTTTCCTTTTTTCTTTGACCTTTCACTTAACTAAGCATGATATCCTTCTCCAAGGAATCGTCCCTTCTGACAACATGACCAAAGTAGATAAGACAAAGTCTGGCCATTCTCGCTTCCAAGGAGCATTCTAGCTGCACTTGTTCCAGGACAGATTTGTTAGTTCTTTTGGCAGTCCATGGTACTTTCAGCATTCTTCACCAACACCACAACTCAAAAGCATCAACTCTTCTTCAGTCTTCCTTATTGTCCAGCTCTCACATGCATATGAGGCAATTGAAAATACCATGGCTTGGATTAGTTGCAGCTTAGTTTTCAAGGATACATCTTTGCTGTTCAGCACTTTAAAGAGGTCTTTTGCAGCAGATTTGCCCAGTGCAGTATGTTACCTGATGGCTTGACTGCTGCTTCCATTGGTGTTGACTGTGGAACCAAGTAATATGAAATCCTTTTCTCTGTTAATTGTGGTGCTGCTTATTGGTCCAGTTGTGAGGATTTTCATTTTATTTATGTTGAGATGTAATCCATACTGCCGACCGTAGTCTTTAATCTTCATTAGTAAGTGCTTCAAGTCATCCTCACTTTCAGCAAGCAAAGTTGTGTCACCTGCATATCACAGGTTGTTAATGAGTCTTCCTCCAATCCTGATGTCACGCTCTTCTTCATATAGTCCAGCTTATCGGATTATTTGTTCAGCATACAGATTGAATAAGTATGGTGAATAGATACAAATTTGATGCACTCCCTTCCTGATTTTAAACCATGTAGTATCCCCTTGTTCTGTTTGAATGACAGCCTCCTAATGGATGTACAAGTTCCTTATAAGTACAATCAACTGTTCTGGAATTCCCATTCTTCTCGATGTTATCCATAATCTGTTATGATGTACACAATTGTATGCTTTTGCACAGTCAGTAAAACACAAGTAAACATCTTTGTGGTATTCTTTGCTTTTGGCCAAGATCCATCTGACATCAGCAGTATCCCTCATTCCACATCCTCTTCTGAATCCAGCTTGCATTTCTGGAAATTCTCTATCAATATACTACTGCAACCATTTATGAATTATTTTCAGCAAGATTTTGCTTATGTGTGATATTAATGATAATGTTTTATTAATTTCCGCATTCTGTGGGATAACCTTTCTTTGGAATGGGTACAAATATGGATCTATTTCAGTGAGTTGGCCAGGTAGCTGTCTTCCAACTTTCTTGGCATGGACAAGTGATTGCCTCCAGTGCATCATCTGTTTGTTCAAACATCTCTGTTCTGTGGGGTTCTGTCAATTCCTGGAGCCTTGTTCTTTGCCAATTCTTTCAGTGCAGCTTTGACTTCTTCCTTCAGTACCACTGATTCTTGATCATCATATGCTGCCTCCTGAAATGGATGAACGTTGGCCACTTCTTTTTGATACAGTGACGTATTCCTTCCATTTGCTTTTGATGTTTCCTGCATCATTCAGTATTTTACCCATAGAATCTTTAATATTGCAACTCAAGGCTTGAATTTTTTCTCAGTTCTTTCAGCTTGAGAAATGCCAAGCATGTTCTTCCCTTTTGTTTTTCTCACTCCAGGTCTTTGCACATTTTATTATAATAATTAACTTTGTCTTCTTGGGCTGCTCTTCTTCTAAGTCTGTCATAGTCTGGAAGATCCACTGAAACCTTTCCACCATGGGTGACCCTGCTGGTATGTGAAATGCCAGTGGCATATCCTCCAGCCTCACAGCAACACACAAGCCACCATAGTGCAACAAACTGGCAGATGAGTAGTGGGTTTATTTTATAGGCCAACCTATTATTTGGCTGAAGGGTGACCAGGAGTGGGTTCCAGTTTTAAAGAGTATGTTAGGGCCATAGTCTCTATTGATCCAGTAAGTCTAGTCCTTTTTATGAATTTTAATTTTCTTCTACATTTTCCTCCCATTCTAACTGGGACCTTCTATTATGTCCCTGGTTGAGCTTGATTTTATAGACAATAGGGAGTTATTACAGGTTCTAAACCAAGACTGACATAATCAAGTCTGGACTTTGAAAGGTAACTGTAGCCGTGCTGTGAATAGGAGACCACTGAAATGGTCCAAGGGGATAAGGATAAGGGCCTAAATTAGGGTCATGGGAGTGAAAGGAAGTGATGGATTAAGAGAAAATTTAGCCTCTTCACCAATGCAGCCAAGCGGCAGATGCAGAGATGGAGATCTTTGTGAAGACTCGGACAGCCATCACTATCGAGGTTGAACGCAGTGACACCATTGAGGTTTTCAAGGCCAAAATCCAAAACAAGGAGGGCATTCCCCCTGACCAGCAATGTCTGATTTTTGTGGGGGATGGCTGCCCTTTCGGCCTTCAGCATCCAGAAAGAGTCCACCCTGCATCTGGGGCTATGTCTGCATGGTGGCATCATTGAGCCTTCCCTGTTCCAGCTCACCCAGAAGTACAACTGCAACTAGATGATCTGCCACAAGTGTTTTGTTCACCTGCATCCCTGTGCTGCCACCTGCTACAAGAAGTATTCCTGCACCCCAGGAAGAAAATCAAATAAGGGATCCTCTCCCTGCCTCCAGGAGGTGCCTCCTCCCAAGCCTCACAGCCCTGGGCCCTCAATAAAGTCTCCCTTCATTGAACTGAAATTAAAAAAAAAAAGATAATTTGGTGATCTAATTAATGTATCTTGGTTACTGATAAGATGAGAGGCCCAAGTTTACCATCTTGGAAAACCAGGTGAAAGGTCAGGCCATTTACTGAGCTAAGGAGACCAGAAGGGAGTATATCTTCTGAAGGAAATATGAGAGGTTCAGTTTGGCATGTCCATGGTTGAATGGTTAATGAGTAATTGGAAATCCAGGTTTAGAGTCCAGTGGCATCATTGGGTAGAATATTTAGTTTTAGCTCATAACTATATAGTTATGAGCCCAACTTAGGCAGATTTTGCAACAGAAGAGCATAGAGACCTTAGAAGAGCACAGAAGTTCTAGGAACACTAAGGTTTAAGGGGCAGGCCACAGCAAAGTATCCCTAGAAAGAAAATGAGAAAACTAGATGAATAATGTGATAGCTGATACCCAGGAAAGAGTTTCAAGAATGAGGGATTTGTCTTCAGTGTTGGGTTCTGCCAAGGATGAAGATGGAGAAAAGGCCATTGGCATTGGCAATTAAGAGCCCTGGTAACCTTTGAGAGAACAGTTTCCTTAAATAAATTCAGTTGGAAGCCAAAGACCAATAGCTTGAGGAAATAAGAAAGTGTGATATATACAGACTCATTATCAAACCTCAAGGAGGAGAGTAGCAAAGGTATGTTGAGGGAGACATAGTATGGAAGGAACATATTACTTAGATGGGGAGATTTGAAGTTCCTGGTAGCATAGTGCCTAAGGCACTTGAGTGGTAACCAGAAGGCTGGCGGTTCAAACCCACCAGCCACTCCTCGGAAGGAAGGTTGGGCAATCTACTTCCGTAGTGATACTGCATCGGCAACCCAAGGAGGGGTCACTATGAGTCAAGGCTGACTCCACGGCATATAACGATAACAATGTGGACTGAGAAGAAGAAATTAAAACATTTTTTAAATTAATTGACTTATAGTTTACAGAGCTCTTTTATATACCTTATTTCGTTCTCAGACCAGTTTTGAGAAGTATGGCTATTATTATCCCCATATGTGAGATAAGGAAACTGAAGCTCAAGAGAAATTAAGTAATTTGCTCAAAGTCAAAGATAGTCTCCTGTGACTCTTTCTAGATCTGTAGAGAAAGGTTGTATAATCCATGGAGTATAATCTAGGAAGGGATGATGCAGAAAAAAAGGAGTCAGAGACATAACCATTGGTGAAATATTGCTTTCACTGAGACAAAGAGGATGGTGGAGATAAAGAATAGGGATAACTAGGATGGATGTTAGGATGACCAGGCAGGAGATGATTAAAGCCAGTCCCATGACTCGGGACAGGGCAAATATGACTTTAATCTTTCCTGGTGATGGTTGCTACACTCTGATAGTAAGATAGATGTAGAAAACTTTAAGACCCCTGTCACCTTACATCCAGAGTATCAGCCCTTTGAGCCCTGAGCAGACCTTTAAGGAACTGGAGCTTTTGGGGAACCGATGCCTGGCTTTCTGTGTGAATATCTCTTACAAGGATTTTAATGTTTTGATTTAAAGGAAAAAAATATTAGTTGCTAACTTTATTGGTGGTGTTTTTTTTTTTTTTTTCTCATAGGGCATTTTAGATTATCTGGATAATTTATCTCCTCAACAAATACGGAAACTCTTCTATATTCTCAGCATATTGGCATTTAGCAAAGAGCAGGAAGCCAGCAGTCACATCCAGGTAAGAGGCAATGTTTTGAGGAGAAACTTTTTAAACCTCTTAACTTGACATTTGCTGGACAAACTCAAAAGAATGCATAACATAGTCCTAACATTTGTTCATTATTTTCTTACCACAAACATTTATTAAGTGCTTACTGTGTGCCAGACACTGAGATGCGAGGTGTGTTAGATGAGTTCTGCTGTGAAGGGGCTCAATTGATTAGGACAGAGATGAGTCTGTAATCAGCTAACCATGAACTGAGTAAAAAAAAAACCAAGTCCTGAGTGCTGTAGGGACACAGAGAATCACCCTTGTTTCCTGAGGTACATTTACATCTAACATGAACTTCATCTGGGCTTGCTTTCATTTGTGGACACTATCCACTGATAAAGCCAGGCTAAGGGGCTAAAATAAAGAGAACATGTTACGTTGGAATTATGACTCATAGCTTTTTGTTATCTTTAGTGCCACCTCATGGTACTAATCCATACTTGACTGTAATGTTGAACAGCCAGCCACCCTTTTTTTTTTTTTTCACTTCTTTGTGACCATCTGTAGGTTTTTCATTTTGTTTTGCTTTTGTTTTTCTTAATTATGATGAATATATATGTAATAAAACATTTACCATTTCAACATTCTTTACATGTACAGTTCTGTGACATTAATTGTGTTTATCATGTTCAACTGTCATCCTTATCTGTTCCGAATTTTTTTGCCTTTTTTTAATTATAAAATTTTTTTTTAATAGACACACATGGTACAAGGTACAGAGGGTGTACAGTGAAAAACAAGTTTCCCTCCTTCTCAGCCTTCTAGCCATCTGGTTCCCCTAGAGGCAAGCACTGTTATTAGTGTATAACCTTCTGAGATACTTTCAGCATTTATAAATCCATGTTGACCACTATTCTACTTCCTCTCCTTCCCCTCTTTTGTTCTACCTCTTGCTTTTTCTGCTTAGTGTATTTTGGAAGTCATTTCACATTAGTAGTACAGAGCTGCTTCATTATGTTAACTGAACAGCCAACATTATGGTAATTCCCATCTCCTTATTGAGCAACCACCAACACGATAATAATAATAGCTATTATTATCCAATGTCTACCAGGGGCTGGGCTTTGTGCTAGGAATTTTTTTATGTGTGATTTATCTTTAATTCTCACAACGACCTTCCTCATTTTATAGAAGAGAAAATTGAGACTCACATGAAATGACTTGCCAAAGGCCACCCAGTAAATGATAGAGCCCTTCCTATTCTAGAACCTTTCTATTCCAGTGTCCATAGGCTTTTGTGATGTCACTTGAGCCTCTTCATCTTTCTCAATCATTGTCCGGTTGCAGGATGACATACACATGGTGATACGAAAGCAGCTCTCTAGCACTGTATTGAGGTACAAACTTATTGGGATTATTGGAGCTGTCACCATGGCTGGCATCATGGCAACAGACAGGTAAGAATGGGGATTCTGACTTTTGCAGCTCAAATCAGATAATCAAGTTGCAACCTCAAAAAAAGTGTTATTATGAAGAACTGTTTGTGATCATTAGTCATTAGAGAGATGCAAATCAAAACAACGAGATACCATCTTACCCTAGCACAGATAGCAAAGTTCAAAAACACAGAAAATAACAAATGCTGGCAAGGATATGGAGAGATTGGGACTCTTATACACTGCTGGTGGGACTGTAAAATGATACAACCACTGTGGAAATCAGTATGGCGATTCCTTAAAAAGCTAGAATTATAAATACCAAACCCATTACTAGGTATATTGAGAACCAGGACAGTAATTGATATATGTACCTCGCATGTACATCACAGCACTATTCACAATAGCAAAGACAGACACAACCTAAGTGCGAATCAATGGAGGAATGGCTAAGCAAACTATGGTACATACACACAGTGGAATACTATGCAACACTAAAGAATAATGTAGAATCTGCAAAATACTACATAATGTGGATGAACTTGGAGGACATTATGCTGAGTGAAATAAGTCAGTTGCAGAAGGGCAAATACTTTGTTAGTCCACTATTGTAAAAAGTTTATAGAGGGAAGGAAATTTTTCTTTGTTGGTTACCAGGGAGGGGAGGGGAGGGAATGGGAAGGAAAATTGCTAGATAGGTTAAAAAAATAATAATTTTATTATTATTATTTATTATTTATTATTATAATATACATATACACACACTCACATATACATACATGAACAAGGAGCTCTGGTATTGTAGTGCCTAAGGCATTTGACTGCTAACTAGAAGGTTGGCAGTTCAAACCTACCAGCCACTCTGCAGAAGGAAGACTGGGCAATCTACTTCCGTAAAGATTTACTGACTCAGAAACCCAAAGGGGTTCACTATGAGTCAGAATCAACTTGATGACAGTGAGTTTGGTTTTTATATATATGAATGTGTATCAAAGATTACACATTCATATATAATGGATATATGGTAGCATAGTGCCTAAGGCACTTGACTTCTAACCAGAAGGCTGGCAGTTCAAACCCACCAGCCACTCCTCGGAAGGAAGATGGGGCAATCTACTTCCATAGTGATACTGCCTTGGAAACCCAATGAGGGGTCACTATGAGTCTGACTCGACGGTACGTAACAACAACAACAACAACATCAAAGATTATTAGTGGTTACCATGGGTAGGAGAGAGGGGGAAGAGGAAGCTTTTGTTTGCAGGCCATTGAGTTTATGGTGATGGTGGTGGAATATTTTGGAAAAGGATAGCAATAATGGTGGCACAACATGAAAAATGTCATCAGTGTCCCTGAGCTGTAAATGTGGAAGTTGTTAACATTGGTGAATGTCTTGGTTTGTTTTCACCACAAGAAAAGTTAAAAAAAAAAAAATCACATTGCATAGACAATATTACTACAACAGTAGACATTACAAGCAAAATAAGAGAAACATGTTTGACTTTTCTATGTTCCTTCCTCATCTTGACTCTATATCATGTATATTGTTTACAGAATTATGATCATAGTCATTACCATCTGATGGTTAAAAACTAGGAATTATCAAGAGATGAAGTTCTAGAACTGTTTCCCCAAAGGGGAAATATGGATGCATATTTCTGCATCTTCTCATGTCCTAGGTACTAGACAATGCAGATTTCTCTAGTACTTTGTTATTCTTGTCTGGGACATCATGTTTGGTACAAATAAGGTTTTCCTTGTGGATATTTTACTCCTTGTGCTATTATTTTTAATTATGGTGAAAATATGTACACTAAAACTCCCATCCCCAACACCCCCCATCCTTTGATGCTACAATTACAGCATTTATGAAAGCATTAGATTTGGGGCTTGATGAGATGTTGCTTATCAACATCATTTATCAAAATGGCATTGGGATTCAGTTCACATACCTTGGAAAAGATTTGTCAGAACCTCCTGAGACCTCAGGAGACGTCTTTCAAATTGGAATTAGTTATCCAGACAGGCTGGCTAAAAGCTCCTTCTCTGAAGCCATGGGAGCTCTGGTGGCATAGTACCTAAGGCATTTGACTGCTAACCAGAAGACTGGTGGTCCATACCCACTCCTCGACAGGAAAATTGAGCAATCTACTTCTGTAGTGATATTGCCTCAGAAACCCAAGAAGGGGTCGCTATGAGTTGGATCCTACTTGACAGCAGTGAGTTTTAGTCTGAAGCCATACTCTGCCTGGGACCAAATCTTGGCTCCAGTATATACTAGCTGGATGACCTTGGGCAAGTTGCTTTACCTCTGTGCTTTTGTATTCCCACATCTGTAAAATAGAGATAATGATAGTATTTACTTCGTAAGAGTTGTGGATAGCATGAAGTGCTTAGAACAATGCCCATCCAGTAGAAAGCACAAAATAAATGCATGCTCTTATTATTATTACTGATTTATGTCATCTTACAAATAACATAAGATAGCCCTGATTTGCTCTAATCTATGTTTTATATGACTTAAATAAATTCTCTGTGCCTTCTTACATTTTGATCTCCATTTCCATCCCCCCTCACTCCCTCAGGGAGGCAAAGGAAGCAGAACTCATATTTATTGCTGGTTATTTACAAAATATTGCAAACTGAAACTAAAATTCTTTGTTTTTTGAAGTGGATCTTCTAGTGTCACCCACAGGAAGGCAGACCTGAGCAATGAAGAGTACACACAGGTAAGTTTGGTACATTTACACGTAACTGAGGAATTGCTTCTTATCACAGTCAGTTTATCAGAGAGTGCTGCTTTTTTAGAAATGTTTGCCTGAACTCCTAGCTTTTTTGATTTTGTACCACTTTTGTGGCAGTTACAAATTTACTGGCTTTGGCTGCGTTTAATTCTGTATCGGTCTAATCTCCCTAATTGAAGTGAAAATCCCTAGAGAGCAAGCTAGATGGGCCATGTTTAGAATAACAGGTTGGCTGGAACATAAGGAAATGAGTGTGTAATTGAGATACATCTAATTTGGAGATAGAAAACAGGGCCTTGGATGTCAAGCACAAAATTTTTATTTAATTCTTCAGGCAGAGGTAGTCATTTAAGGATTTTTTTGCATGGAAATGACATAAATGAGATATCAGAGTTTTGTTTAAGAAAAATTAATCTGGCTCCATGGCTTGGAAAAGGTGTGAGATTGGAAAGAGGCAGATAGGTCAGGAGGCTAAGGAAATTGTGTGTGAGAAGTGAAAGAGCGAAGTTGAGAAGGGAAAAACGTAACTGCTGACTGGGGTAGATGGAGTTCAGAAAGAGTTGGTAGCCCAAGGATTGAACCATTTTTTCTCTTTGGCTGCTCCAGGTGACCTCCTTGCTGCAATTGGTTCACTCCTGCAGTGAGCAGTCTCCTCAGGCCTCTGCACTTTATTATGATGAATTTGCCAACCTGATCCAAGGAGGAAAACTGGCTCCAAAAGCCCTGGTGGGTCAAGAATCTTTCTCATAAAGCACTGTAGGAGGAGGGCTGCTTTGCTACTTACTCGTTAAGCCTTCTCTCACCTATAATGTGGAGAAAGAGGGATTGTTAGGGATTGAATTGTATCCTCCAAAAATATGTGTTGTAAATCTTAACCTCTATGCCTGTGGTTAAGGATTTCTAGTGGCATAGTGCTGAAGGTATTTGCTGCTAACCAGAAGGTTGGAGGTTCAAACCCACCACCTGCTCCATGGAAGGAAGATGGGGCAATCTACTTCTATAAAGATTTACTGCCTTGGAAACCCAATGGGGGTTGTATGAGTAGAAACCTACTCCATGGCAGTGGGTTTGGAGTTTTTTGCTTTGTTTTATGCCTGTGGTTGTAATCCCATTTGATAAAAGGTTGTCTTTGTTATGTTAATGAACACGATTAGTGTAGGGTGTGTTTTGAGTCAATCTCTCACTAAAGAAGCAGATTGTTGTGTTATGTACCAGAAGCAGATTATCTCTCCAAGGGAATAGTTGTTGTTATTTGCTGTCGAGTCGAGGCCCCAACTCATAGCGACCCCTCCTTGGGTTTCCGAGGCAGTATCACTACGGAAGTAGGATTGCCCAACCTTCCTTCCGAGGAGAGAAGCAGATTAGGCAACCAGAAATGGGGAAGACAGAGGCCAAGCCACCTGGAGATCTCCAAAGAATCAGTAAACTGACTGAAGAGGCAAGGATCCTGGCCCAGAGCCAACAAAGAAAAAGTGTTCCCTTAGAGCCAGTGCCCTGAATTTGGACTTCTAACCTCCTAAACTTTGGGAAAATAAAATTCTGTCTGTTAAAGACATCCACTTCTATTTCTATTATAGCAGCACTAGATAACTAAGACACTAATTACTAAGACACTAGTTACTGACTAGATAACTGTGAGCCCTTCCAAATTCTAGTTGGGAAAGCTGTTCTGCACCACCCCCTTACATCAGGGTTCTCCTCTGAGGCCTCCTTTACATAATAATAACAATAATAGTAATGAAGAGGTTTGGTGGTGATACTGTTGTTGGGTTGGTAATGATGATGTTGAGAGCCACCATCTATTTTATGCCAGGCACTGTGCTAACTAAGCATTTGTCGTGCATTATCTCATTTCCACCATGATAATGAGGTATATCTTCTTTTCCCTTCCTTTTTAGAAATGAGGAAATTGAGGCTTAGAAAGGTTACAAGTAATTTTTCTAGGGCCCCACAGCAAGTATACCTTGGCTATACTTTTTTGCTTGTTTGCTTCCTGAAGGAATGGGCTGGGCAGACCATTCTTAATGATTTCCAAGATTCCTTTGTGGTGGACATCTGTGTTATTCCAGAAGGGTAAGTACTGTTCACCCACTGACTTGGTTGTACTTGTGAAAAATTACTCAGTGATGTCAATAGCTGGTACAAACTTCAGAATGCTTGTAAATCCAATCCAGTCCCATACCTTCTTTCCTCCTAACCCACATGCTTCTGCACCCCAAGCTCTAGGATTGCTAAAAGGTTCCCTACTTGTTCTTTCAAGCTCCATTCCTCATTTTTCATCATAATTAGCAAAATTGGTTTATTCTAGTGTTTCCCCTCAGCCTTGCTTACCCCTGAGTTGGGGCATCCAATTCTGGGTTCTCTTCACAGTGACTATCCATTTCCTGTGAAAACTCTCTATGGACTGGAAGAATACAGTAGTCAGGATGGGATCGTCATCAACCTGCTGCCACTGTTGTTCTGTCAGGACTTTGCAAAAGATGGGAGTGGAATGATGTCACACAAATCAGGCCAAAAGTCAGTACAGTTCTCTTTTTTAAAACCTCTGTTAGTGTTTTAAATGTTCACAGGGAATTCCACAGTTCCTTGAATCTGTGGGAACTTGAATAAAAAATGTTTCCTCCCTGGACAGATGGTATGTGGAGAGGTTGGAGAGAATGGAGAAGATTTCTTGTTTTTGTTTGTACCCTAGGGTTGGGATTTATGTTGCCTTATAACAGCTAACAGACATTCTGAGATTATTTTCTTCTCTGTTCCTTATTCATTGCTTTCTATCAAACCTTCTCCCTCTCGTGGACATCCATGGCTACCTTACTCACTCCCTCCATCTTTCCTTCACTTCTCTTAGCACATGGACATTCACTCCACTGACCCTCTGTCTCCCTCCAGTTCAGTTCATGATGTTACTTGCTGAGAATCTATCGTGTCCTCTGCCATTTGTCCTTAAAAGGAGATCTTTATTTTGGGCAAAACTCTCTAATTAAAAGGTTGAGCTCCCCATGAATAAGGATTAATATGCCTATAGAATATGGTCTAGAAATGGATTTTTCCTTCCTAGATTGGTGTCTCCATTGTGCCTGGCTCCCTACTTCCGACTGCTGAGACTGTGTGTGGAGAGACAACATGATGGAAACTTGGAGGAAATTGACGGTTTACTAGGTAAAGGATGAAGTCATCAGATCCTTCCTTCTTTGTAACCCTTCTTTGATAAATTTAGGGAAGGGGCAGACTAGCACATGATGTGTGTGAGAAGAAGTTTGCTAATTGGACAAAGAATATTATAACAGCAGTAATAGAATTCTAAAGGCAAAACAATACACACAGAATCCCATCATGTTAACAAACATAGTTCCATGTTGCTTTCTTTTCTTGCCTTTATAAACCAAAAATTCATGGATACAATCAGTCCTAGCGACTGGTACACCATCCGATCTGCAGCCTATATGACTATGAAACCAGAAGAACTAGATAGTACCTGGCTACTACTGTCAACCACTTGGAAGGGGATCTATTTAGGAGGTCCTGGATAGAGAGGGAGTACAATGTGGAACAAAACTCAAAATCATTTGGAGAAAAGAAAAAGGGGGGACCAGGTTTGCTGGTCCAGTAGAGCCTGGTGGAACCACTGAGACTTTGGCCCCTAACTGCCCTTCAGGTCTGGAATTGAACCCACGCCTGTGGCTTCCAGCCAAACAATAGACAGGCATATGAGTTGAACATTTACCTGAGGTAGATACACTCCTTGGAGAGAACAATCATGGGAGAAAGAAGGGCTGCTTATGCACAGGGAGACAGCTCAAGGGGCAGGAGTGCATGGAGGGATGGACACAGGGAAGAGGTAACTATCGGGAGGAAGTAGGAGGGGAGATGTTGCATTGTGGTAAATTGTGATCAATGTCATGAGACAAAGTGTATGTGAACTGCTGTATGGAAAGTGAATTTGCTCTGTAAATTTTCACCCAAATCACCAAAAAAAAAAGACTAAATAGCAAGGAAGACTAGCTTCAGGGGCAGCATCCAGGGGCTTACACTAACGGGAGTTGATGATGTTTGTCCTCTTTCAGATTGCCCTTTATTCCTCACTGACCTGGAACCTGGAGAGAAGCTGGAGTCCATGTCTGTTAAAGAGCACTCATTCATGTGCTCACTTATATTTCTTACTCTCAACTGGTTCCGTGAGGTGAGCAAAGTTACTGGGACATTTCACTTATTGTCTGTAGTTCCTGTCAAAAATAAACCATTTTCTTGGTTCCCACAAGCCTTCTTTAAAAATCCCACAAGCTGCTGGTCTGATAGAGCCTGATGGAACCACTGAGAGTATGGCCCCTAGCTGCCCTTCAGGTCTGGAATTGAACCCATGCCTGTGGCTTCCAGCCAAACAAAAGACAGGCATATCAGCTGGACATTTACATTAGGTAGATAGACTCCTTGGAGAGATCAATCATGGGAGAATAGAAGGGCTGTGTATGCACAGGGAGATAGCTGGGGGTGGGGGTGCATGGGAGGGAAGGACACAGGGAAGAGGTAACTATGGGGAAAAAGTAGGAGAGGAGCTGTTGCATTGTGGGAAATTGCAAGTCAATGTCATGAAACAAAGTGTATGTGAGCTGCTATGTGGAAAGTGAATTTGCTCTGTAAACTTTCACCCAAACCACAAGAAAATTGAAAAAAAAAAATCCCACAAGCACTAACCCCTGTGTGCTTCTCCAGCTCTTATGTCCCCCTTTCTGTTGTGGCCAAATCAAAATACTTAGATGGTGGCGTAGTGCCTAAGGCATTTGCCTGCTGACCAGGCTGGTGGTTCAAACCCACCAGCCACTCCTCAGAAGGAAGGTTGGGCAATCTACTTGCATAGTGATACTGCCTTAGAAACTCAAGGAGAGGTCACTATGAGTCAGATCCGACTCATCAGCAGTGAGTTTTTTTTGTTGTTGTTACTACCTCCAAGCCTTTGCTTGTGTGTCCTTATTGCTGCCCAGGGTAACCTCCGTACCTTATCCATGATAGAAATACTGCTTATCCTAGCATAAGCATACACATAATTTTTGATTCAATGAGCTCGAGTGAATGGTAGTTTTTTTTTTAAATAATAATGACAATAATGATAGAATGTTATATCATGCTGCTTTTCAAAGCCTTCTCATTCATATTATTTCAGAGAATATTTATTCACTTGAATTATCTCATTTGGTCTTCACAATTACATTATGAAGTAAGCAAGAGAAATATAATTCATCTTACTTTACACATAGGGAATTCCAGGTCCAGAGAATTCAAAGTCACTAAAATTTATTAAGTACTATATATAGAGAGAAATTATATAAAGAATTATTATATATAGAGAAAGTAGGGTAATTTCTTTATTTACACTGTTTAATCCATACAATCATCACACTCCTACTTAAAGAAATAAAGGCTCAGAAGGATTAAAGATTTAGCTAAGATTACTTAGCTAGTAAGTAGCAGAATAGGAGTCCTTTTACCAAAGTATGTGCTCTCTAGCCACTGTACTGTTCTGGTTTGTTACATAACAACTGATAAGAAGAACTGGGTTTAAAAGTCCAAGTTCCTGTGTTTCACCCAGAATTTTTTTCTCTACACCACCCAGCTGAAAATACTTCTTTATTACAAACTGAACTCACAGATCTGCTGCTGAATAGCATTTTCTTTTAGCTCTAGATGAATAATGCAAACAAGGTTAAAATCTAAGCAGTTCAAGGTATGAGAATACAGTTTTTACTTCTGCAGATTGTGAATGCCTTCTGCCAGCAAACATCACCCGAGATGAAGGGGAAGGTGCTCACCCGGTTAAAGCACATTATAGAACTACAAAGAATCCTGGAAAAGTACTTGGCAAGTAAGGAAAATGTCCTCTCCTAGTGGCCTTGCTGGGATGGTAGGCTCAGAAATAGATGTCCCCTACCCACCTGGGTCAAAGAAAATGTATGCTGAACAAAACTAAAAAGAAAGAAGAAAATTTATTGTATTCAGTTTGCTCCCATTGTTACCTCTAAGAGATCTTTCTGCTTAAGGAAATAAAAAGTATCAGACATTGGTTGAGCTGTTCCAGAGTTACATTTCTCCTTTGGAAGTAAAACTTCCAGTGACCTTTGCCTTCCTGAACACAGTCATGAGCAAGAACTAAAGATGAAAGACCTTAGTACCTCCTGACATTGAGTACAAGAGTTGTTTTTAACTGCTGGTGCTTATTCTCTGAGGATAATTGGAGTGCCCCTCCCCATACCTTCATGTAATTAATTATACTTCAGGAAAACTGCTATGTGATTAAATATTGTTAATATCTTTAGATTTTAAATGTGAATGAGTTTGTTATCTGCTTGGATATTTTTGATCACTGTTTAAAAAGATTTTGTTAGTTGATCGTCATCATTTAATGTTATTCCTATGTTATCTCTGGCGAGTTTGCTATGCCAAAACAATTCATGTCAAATGACTTGATTGCATCCTTTAAGCATATTCCAGGCATTCAGCCATGGTTGGTGGTTTTGGGGACTAGTTTCCAGCCAATTGGGTGATTGCATTCCAAGTATAGTGGTCGCATGTGGTTCTGAGCTTCTGCCTAATTCTGTTTCAGTCACCCCCGACTATGTTCCTCCTCTTGCAAACTTTGACTTGGAAACTTTAGATGCACCACCTCATGCTAGTACTGCTGTTTCTGCAAAAATCAGAACAATAGGAAAGAAAAGTGAGTATGTTATTTTCTTCTTACTCTGTCTATACATGAGCCATACTTAATTAACCTAAGAAACCATATATGCCAAAGCATCAGTAACTGGAGAGATGTCATTAAACCATTCCTTTAACAGGCTTATAAATGAGTTGCAAGTAGGGTTATAAAATTACTTCTAAGTAGAAAGGAAGCCCTGGTGGTGCAGTGGTTTAAACACTTGGCTGCTAATCCAAAGGTTGACTATTTGAATCCACCAGGCACTCCATGGGAGAAAGATAAAGCAATCTGCTTCTGTAAAGATTTATAGCCTTGGAAACCCTATAGGGCAGTTCCCCTCTGCCCTATAGGGTTGCTGTGAGTTGGAATCGACCAGACAGCAGTGGGTTTGGTTTACCTCTAGGCAGACTTTAGCAGGTTGTTTTCCTGAGGCAGCAGCATTTGCCAAACAGGATTATTGATTACTTGAGTCCCTTTTCTCTTTTTGAAACATCAGGAGGAACAAAACGAAAAGCAGATGGCAGCAAAACATCCTGCCCTGACACACTTTCAAAGGAGGATACTTTGGAATGTGACCCTACACTATCTGATAGAAGCCAGCAGGAAAAGGTATTGGGATAATGGGTTGTCATGAAGGAATAGACAGCCCTATGAGATAAACTGAAGGCCAGCATCATTCTCTGCATTTTATAGGGAGAAAAATTAGGAAATGGAGATGCAAGTGAATTCTCCTAGGCCTTGGAGTGAGTCTTTGAGTAGCAAAGTTCGGTTTAGACCCTAACCATCCTATCATTGCTGCATCACTGTTTTCTCTAATTATTTTGCTCCCTTTTTTGCACCCTGCAGTACTCTGAATTCTCTCTTAAAGCAATTGTCAAATTCTGTCTTATGCACAGTTTGGTACATACTTTTTTTTCCCCTTTTCCCTTCCAATCCCAGATTATCAGCTTCTTAATAAATTGAGATAATGTGAAATGCTCAGTACAATTTCTAGAATTGTTAAAGAATTTGTAATTTGTTTTTCCTGTAACTCCATACTACTCCCAAGACAGGTTTCATACGTTTGTGAAATTGCCTGAACTACATGGATTGTAATAATTTGTGTTATTTAGCTATCAATTTATTATTTGTTATGTATTATTCCTTTAATCCCTATTAAAAAAAACCCCAAGGTTAGTATTGATATCACATTTAAGAGATGAGGAAAAAAATAAAATAAAAAGTGAAAACAATTAAAAACAAAAAGGAGATGCAGAAGCAAAGATTCAGAAAGGGTAAATGACTTGTCCAAGATCACATTGCTAATAAGTGCTTGAGCAAGGATCTTTCTGGCTCCTAAACTCATGATTTTCTGCACCATAGCATAATACTTCAGTTGACCTAATAATTCATCCCTAAGTAAAAACTAACCAGGGGTCTCAACATGTGACCTTTATCCTCATAGTAAATAGGGTGCTTTGTCTCACAATATTGAGGGAGTTGGGTAAAAGGAAGTTGGTGATCTGATGACAATGTAACTTTTTGCATAAAATGAATGCATATTTGTACTTTAAAATCATCATCAGAAAGTAGATTTATATAGAAGAGTTGTTTATATTCTGTTGGTTTCTGCTATTTTCCCTCAGGAATTCACAAAGAAAGAAGAAGAGAAGGCATCGGTATCGCTACAGAATTATGGTGCTTTTTTCCGAGAGCTGGACATTGAGGTTTTCTCTATTCTTCATTGTGGGCTAGTGACCAAGTGCATCTTAGATACAGAAATGCACACTGAAGTAAGTGACAAAGCTTGAATCCCCAAACTTAATCTTTCAAAAAGTCCCTCAGGGCTGTTCTTATTTCAAAAAGAACACTGTGACAGTGAGACAAATTGGAAACTGGCTTCAAAATCCTGTATATGTGAAAGTACTGATAAATAATGGTTATTTATAAGGAAGTATGGGAGTAGAGGAGCCATGTGGTGCAGTGGTTAAAGCACTTGACTGCTAATGTAAAGGTCACCAGTTTGAACCCACTAGCCACACCACAGGAGAAAGATGTGGTTGTTTGCCTCTGTAAAGATTTACAGACTTGGAAATCCTTTGGGGCAGTTCTACTCCATCCTGTATGATCGCTATGAGTGAGAATCAACTCATTGGCAGTGGGTTTGTTTTGTTTTTTTTTGTTTGTTTGTTTAGGGGAGTTGAGAAAAATTTCATAGAAAAGAAAGTAGAATTCTTCCAGGTAAAATATTTGAAAAACAGCATTGATTTATATGTGATAGTTAAAAAAATATAAGTACCCTCAGAATAAAGACAGTGTCTCTCTTTTTTTAAGGGAATAAAAAACTCTACACCAGTTTATACTTAGGAATTCATTATAAATGCCATAAATGTATTTTGAGTTAACAGATTGAAGTAAGAGGACATTTTTGATCCATTCCACTTCTATTAGTGTAATATGCTTATAGGTATCCCCAACAGTGTTAAGAGTAGCAAAGCATTAAAGGAAACAAAGTATGAAGGGATTATTTAATGAACAGAGAAAAGGGAAATTTCCTTGAGTTAATCATTTTTTTATCCTGAGGTATATAGGCATGTATCTTGGATCTACGGCTGGAAAAATATAGAGAGCAATTTATTTCTAGAAAAAAGTGTGTCTTCAAAAACTATACTGTATACTGCCTCAGATTCCTGTCTAATAATTTGGATTATTTGACTTTGGAAATGCTTAACTTTTTGGTCAGTGGACAGAACATAACAGCAATCCTTTATAAGAAGTGGGGGAAAATTCTCTCCTCTTTGATTAAGGGACAAATTCTTCACCCACTGGGAAGAATAAACATGAACTGTTCTAGAAAAAGGTGACTACAGCATACTTGGAATTATTCCCTCCTTCCTGCATGTGACAGGCCACAGAAGTTGTACAGCTTGGACCCCCTGAGCTGCTTTTCCTGCTGGAAGATCTGTCCCAGAAGCTGGAGAATATGCTGCTACCTGCTGCTAAGAGAGTCCCTTTCTTCAAGGTTAGTATAGGCAGACACAGAACCTGGGCTTTATGAATCTTAGTGGTAAATAAGTTGTCTCTTCTCTGGCATTGTGTTTGGGTCACTGACTAGCATGGTTGCAGCCTCATTGCCATTTCACCTTGCTTTAGAAAGGAACTTTGAAACAGAAAACAAAACAAAAGGTACCCAATACAGGAAATGAGTCATATTCCTGAATCATGTTCTTTGTTCAACCTGCCAAACTAAGCCTTTGCCCAAACCTCAGTATAGTAGTTGACTGTTCAGAGAAGGCCAGAACCTCAAATGTGCATGTCATGTACAAATGTGCACACATACATTATCAGATGAAGCAGTTAGATGATGCAAACAACAAAAGGTGAAAACTGAAGTGTAAATGTTTAAAGATTAGCCTTTCCAGTTGCTTGATTCATTCTTTTTTGTGCTGTCTCCTCTAGTATTGTCAACTTAAATTCCTCTTTTTGTGTAAACTCTTTAGTATCTCTTTAGTACTGTGGGTTTATACTTCTCAATCCAACACTGCTGTTACTCTACAAAAGCCAGTCTCTATATTAGAAGATGGAGCAGATTTTTTATCCTTCTATCAAAATACAGTCCTTAGGCAAGGAGCTCATTTCTCTCATCCACTCCTGCGTAGTGATATAGGTTTGACTAAATTCCACAGTAAACTCAGCTTCAGAGATGTTATATAGCAGTTTCTTCCCTAGTAACTCTGAATTTATTGTAGAGTAAAGGAAACTGGAATATTGGATTCTCACATCTCCGTCAGAGATCTGCTCAAGAAATTGCTCACTGTATTGGTCAACTGCTGACCCCCATGTGTAACCATCTGGAGAACATTCATAACTATTTTCAGGTCAGAAACCTATTCTCTTGTCGTTATAGAGACTTGGAAATCAGTAAGTGAGCAAGAGGTTTCATTTTTAATTGAGAGAAATTGAAGGACAATTAGGGCAATTGCTGAAGCAGCTGTCCTAAAAGCATTTTTCCCTTTTAGTGCTTAGCTGGTGAGACTCATGGTGTAGTTGATGGACCAGGAATGAAAATTGAGGAATACCAGATAATGTCTTCCTGCTATCAGAGGCTACTGCAGATTATCTATGGGCTGTTTGCATGGTGAGTATTAGGATGTATAATAGGCATAGGTGAATGCATATGTACTTCCTTTTACTTTATGGTCAGTCACCAAGGTCCAAAAGCCTTATGTAAATAAGGTGCTTTATTCCTGTTGGGAGCTCTGGTGGCATAGTGCCTAAGGCATTTGACTGCTAACCAGAAGGCTGGCCCTTCAAACCCACCATCCACTCTTCAGAAGGAAGATTGGACAATCTACTTCAGTAGAGATACTGCCTCAGAAACCCAAGGAGGGGTCGCTATGAGTCAAATCAACTTGACAGCAGTGAGTTTGGGTTTTGTTTTTTTTAATTCCTTTTGGAGTGTTTTTGTCTGTATTATTTCATTTGATCTTTCACTCTCTGAGACTGACTAACCCACTTGATAATTATGTGACTTGCACTTAGCTAACCTGTAACAAATCTGGCTGTCTGATTCTTAGCCTAGTTTGCTGTAACAAGCTTTCTATAGTACCATTGGGGAGACTTACTTGAAAAGTCATTACTAAACAAGTTGTCTTCTCGGAAGGAAGGAAGGTTGGGCAATCTTCTTCCGTAGTGATACTGCCTTGGAAACCCAAGGAGGGGTTGCTATGAGTCGGGTCTGACTTGATGGTACCTAACAACAACAACAACACAAACAAGTTTTAAATACATTCCAGATTATGTGTTAAAGAGCTGAACACGATGTGAGTTGGGATATTTAGGGACACCTTCATGGAGGCAGTGGGACTTCTTCAGGCCCTTGGAGGGTATGTGGCCTTTAGAGATGTGAAAGGAGGGGTTGGGAGGCACAACATAGACAAAAGTAGCAATGAAGGAAGTGTGTGCCCTAAATGCTCAGGTTCCTTAGGGGTAGGTCCTATCCCTCTATTCTTATTATGTAGGTTTTCTACACAGTCTTACCTAAGCTTGAATTTATGCTAAAATTGATCTTCTGAGGTCCAAGCCTTATAGCCAGCTACCTACTCAACACTTCCTTTAGATGTGTCCTTGACACTTCAAATTCATCACTTCACAGGTCCTTCCCACCCATTCAGCTTTCCTTAGCTCAGAACACTTTCTGAGCTACCACCAGTTGTCTGACCCAGAAATCTAGGAGTTACTCTTTATTTCCCTCCCTCTAGTTTGTACCCATTTTCTCATATCCACATCCAATCAGCAGATCCTATTGATTTTATCTTTTGGAAACCATCCAAATAGCCATCTGTTTCTTTCCTTTGCCACTGCTCCCTGATTCCCCTCTCTCACCTGGACTAGATGAGTTTCGTAGTTGGTTTCCCTACCCCCAGTTATCCTCATCTTTAGTCAACTCTTCACACTGCAGTTAGAATGACCTTTGTCCTTTTCCAACTTTATTTTCATTTGCCCTTAGGTTTGCCTTAAATTCAAGCTCCTTTACATAGCTTGTAAGGCCTTCTATTTTCTGACCTTTGCTCTTCCACTCACTGCCTTCACTCTGTCCTCTAGCCATTCTGAATGAATTTCAGTAACCTATGTGGCTTTACACATACTCACCTTTTACCTGGAAGATTCCCCACTCTTACTGATCCATGTTGCTTTTGTTAGGTGCCATCAAGTTGGCTCTGAATCTTAGTGACCCTACATAAAACAGAGTGAAACATGGCCCAGTTCTGTACCATCCTCACAGTACTTGCTATGCTTGAGCCCATTGTTGCAGCTATTGTTCCTTACCCCTAGTCTAATTCATCCTTGAGATGTGGACTTAAATATCACTTCCTCAGGGGCATCTTCTGTGACCTCTAGGCCAAGTAAGCCTCCTTCCTGTCTTCCTGATACCCAGTTCTCTCCTAACACTCTTTTATCCTGTTATGATAAAACTCACCACATTTAACTATAATTACTTGTTCATCTGTCTTCTCTGCTGAACTCTGTAAGCTCCTGTAGAGCAGAGAACAGTCATTGCTTTACCCTCAGTACTTAAAAATAATGCCTGGCAAAATGATTTGAATAGACACCCCATGAAAGGAGAAATATATATGGCAAATACATACATGAAAAGGTGTTTAATATTATTATTAAGGAAATTAAAACCACAATGAGATTGTATAACACACCCATTGCTGTTGTTACTGTCAGGTAACATCAAGTCATTTCCCATTCATAGCAACCCTGTGTACAACAGAACAAAACAATGTCTGGTCCTGTGCCATTCTCACATCGTTGCCATGGTTGAGCCCATTGTCATAGCTACTGTGTCCATTTCATTGAGGGTCTTCCTCTCTTTTACCGACCTTTACTTACTGTACCAGTCATGATATCCTCCTCCAGGGACTGGTCCCTCTTGATAACATGACCAAAGTATAAGAGACAAAGTCTTGCCATCTTTGCTTCTAAGGAACATTCTGGCTATATTTCTTCCAAGACAGATTTGTTCATTCTTCAGGCAATCTATGGTATATTGAGTATTCTTCACCAACACCACAATTCAAAGGCATCCATTTTTCTTCAGTCTTCCTTATTCATTGTCCAGCTTCCACATGTAAATGAGGCTGATGAAAACACCATGCCTTGCGTCTGGCATAGCTTAGTCTTCAAAGTGACATCTTTGCTCTTTAACACTTGCAAGTTTTTTGCAGCAGATTTGCCCAATGCAATACATCATTTCATTTCTTGATTACTGCTTCCATGGGCTTTGACTGTGAATCCAAGTTAAAATGGAATCATTGAGAACTTCAGTATTTTTCCATTTATCGTGATGTTGTTTATTGGTCCAGTTATGAGGATTTTTGTTTTCTTTATGTTAAAGTATAATCCATACTGAAGGCTGTAGTCCCTGATCTTCATCATTAAGTGTTTCACATCCTCTTCACTTTCAGCAAGCAAAGTTGTATCATGTGCATATCGCAGGTTGTTAATGAGTCTTCCTCCAGTCCTTGTACTGCATTCTTCATATAATCTAGCTTCTTGGAATTTGGTAAACAGATTGAATGAGTATGGTGAAAGGATACCACCCTGATGCACATCTGCCTCATGGTCTACATGTACAGGTTCCACACAAGCACAATTAAGTGTTCTGGAATTCCCATTCTTCACAATATTATCCATAATTTGCTGTAATCCACAGTCAGATGCCTTTACATAGTCAGTAACATTCCCATTCGCAAGGCTAAATTAAGGAGATTTACCATGCCAAGTATTGGCAAACTATTTAGAAACTTAGCAATTTGACAAAATTATCCCTGTGTGTAAATATTATCGTTATTTTGTTTGTTTGGTTTTGGGAGAAGACTAGGGTATATCTCTAAAAAGTTTGGAATGAAGGAGATCCTTTTTCCCTTGAAAATGTGGGGTCTGTTAGGTCCTTAAGGAAAGACTAATTAATGTACACTTGTAGTGCATAGACCTGTAACTGAGTTTGGCACTTCAGTGCTTTCAGTTTGCGTCTCCTGTTTTATTCTATTGACTTATTGATGATACAAACTAAAGATAGGATCCTCAAATAATAACTAAGCAAACTTCCTGAAACTAAGCTAAACCATCTTACTTTGACTTTCCCTTAGGAGTGGGTTTTTTCAACCTGAAAATAAAAACTTACTATACTCAGCCCTCGAGGTGCTTGCTAGTCGACTAAAACAGGGAGACCATGACCAGCCCTTGGAAGAACTGCTCAGGTAGGTCAGATGACACATCCTGAGAATTGTCCCAAGAAACTCTAGGACCATGGTTGGCGAGATTTCTTGAAAGTAACAAGTTTCTTTCAGTAGTTGTGAGGGAAATTCTTAGTATGTTCAACTACTTTTCCTCAGTATGTGAGCTTTCTCCCATGTATGCAGATAAATTGTGCAGCATTAAGGTCCTTGAACAGATCCTACTAAATATTTATACATCCTTCAGCCCATAAAGTCCATCCCTTTTCAGGTAATGATGAAAACACTGACCATCTGTAGTCAATTCTTGATTAGCCAGGGACCTACTCTTCTCTTAGCAGAGCTGGGTAATTAGGCAGCAGCTAAATAAGTTCTCCTGAGGTTCTCTGCCTTATAAGTTCCTCTCACTTTGTTTTTGTGAATACAGAGTTTAAACATTTTTTTCAGTGTGTTGCCTAAGTAAGGCTTTAAAGAGCAAATCATTTATCCAGGGTTGCACATATAAGTATGGCCTAGACTAGTACTTGGTTCCTTGGCATACATGACCCCTTCAAGACCAGAATTCTATCCACTGGGCTCTGCTCGGCTAGAGAACATAGAATTCTCCACCAAGATGCTTGCAAAAAGTTTCCTACTAAGGTACCTGAAAATGGAGAGAACTCTGATAAAGGGAACTTGGGCAACTCCTGTGGATTTAGATATAACGGTAATACTTGTGGTGGTATTATTTGTTTATTTTATCTTTTCTTGTCTCCTCACAGCCAGAGCTTCCATTACTTGCAGAATTTCCATCACAGCATTCCCAGTTTTCAATGTGGTCTTTATCTCATCAGACTTTTGATGGTCATTTTGGAGAAATCTGCAGCTCCTACTCAGAAAAGAGAAAAAATTGGTGATGGGCCCAGACCTTCTTTCTTTTCATGAATAGGATTAATAATTTAAGCTTAGAAACTTGGGGTTTCCTAGGACTTTGTGCCTTTTTACATGTAAATCTCTGCATAACTTTGGATATGCCCTCTTGCTATACCAAGAAAGACACTTTCCCAGAAGGGCTATGGCTGATTATTTCTGCTGACACTGTTTAGTCTGAGTTTGGTTAGTTCAGCTGATTGGATAATTTTCTGTTTTGCTTAAATTATTCACATCCTTTTTTATTATTATTATTAAATCTGAGACATCTGATAAAAAGAGACATAAGCCGTGAAGTTAATAAAATGGAAGTAAAAGGGAAAAATCAGGATCAAGTATAAAGGAAGACCTTACCTCTTCCCAGACTATTTTCCTTAGCCATCTTTTGTTAGAACTTTTGGGATGCAACTCACTGATTATACATCCTGATTGGCAGAAACAGAAAGAAAGAAGAAATGCAAACTGAATCTTTATTATACCCTATGAATTAAATGGGAGGCGTTTGATCTGAATCTGTGAGGTGGCCAGTGCTTTTATCAGTCTAGGAGGAACCAGAGTGTCTTTCCCACTGCCAAATAGCACTCCTTTTCTGTGTATATATAATATATATGTGTGTGTTTCAGGACTGGGCCAGGGCTAGGGCACTTTGGGTCTTGGATGGATGGGTTTATTTCTGACAGATGGGTCAATGGAACAGAAACACATAACAACTTTTTTTTCTTTTTGTTTGTTAGACCAGAAACATAATCGCAAATTTAAAAGAATGATCCTTTTGATCAATAATTGTTCCCCAAAGCCTGAAGGCTATAGTAACATAGATTTTCTGTATGTGAGATTTCTTTGTGTGTTTCTCCAACAGCTTCCCTGGCTAGACAGTTCCTCTGCCGGGTATGGCCAAGTGGGGAAAAGGGGAAGAGCAACACTTTCAATGACCAGCTCCATGCTTTGCTCTGGTGAGATGTTTGATTTCTTCCAAGGAGCCAACTAGCCCTTTTCCATTTTGCCACTGGTGGGATCCCTCATCTGGTCAGACTAAGAAATGAGAAGATGGGGCAGTCTACTTCTATAGTGATACTGCCTTGGAAACCCAAGGAGGGGTCACTATGAGTCGGGTCCAACTTGACGGCACATAACAACAACAACAACAACAACAACAACAAGAGGTAGAAAGCAATGACACGGTTTTAAAATGAACGTAATTTGGAATGTGTGCATCTTGAGATCCTCTACTTCTGTTTTATACTGTTGACTTTTGTTGTTGTTATGTGCTGTCGAGTCAAACCCAACTCATAGTGACCCCTCTGTGGGTTTCCAAGGCAGTATCACTACAGAAGTAGGATTGCCCAACCTTCCTTCCGAGGAGTGGCTGGTGGGTTTGAACCGCCAGCCGTCTGGTTAGCAGGCAAGTGTCTTAGCCACTATGCTACCAGAGATCCCATACTGTTGACTAGTTCCTTATTATTAAATCAAATCATAGTGGAAGCAGAGGAGTCTGCAGTCAATGAATCAAATATTCATTGCCAGCCATGTCTGATACATGTCCATCACCTCCAATGTGTCTGACTATATTTCCAGTTGAGATACGATTTACATTACCTCCTGGCTATATTTGGAATCCTTATCATTTTATTAAAAATAAATGCCCTGAGTTTCTGGCAAATATTCAATCTTCTCTGGATGTCAATGCAGCATCTACCTGGAGCACACAGACAGTGTGCTGAAGGCCATAGAGGAGATTGCGGGTGTTGGTGTCCCAGAACTGATCAACTCGCCTAAAGATGCATCTTCCTCCACATTCCCTACACTGACCAGGTAAGAAAGTTCTCTCCTTATACTAGAACCATACTGTCCAGTGTATGTAGTTTCCAAGTAACACCTTACTCCTCATCTAATTCTGATATTTCTTAAGAGATACCATAAAGTCTCCTCAGATGGTAGGTACAGTAATCCATTCAAGACATATCAAGTGCCTACTGTACATTCTTTCCAAGGAGCTCTTAGCCAACCTACATAGAGGACCTTATTGAGGAATGAGTTTTCAGTAGTTAAAGTCTTCAAAGGCACTGAACATCTAGTCACCAAACTTCTGTCAATACTTTCGTCTTTTAAACTTGAGACTATGTTTCCCATGTTTTAACATCTTTTAGAAGGGCCAGGTGAGTGCTGTATCTAATCATATATGTCTCATATGTAAGATACCAATAGCTATCTTGGACTTTGAATAGTTCTCTCACTTATATAGCCTTTAAGTTTATAAAGCACTTTCCTATTCATTACCTCATTTGATCCTTTCAACAATTCTCTGAGATAGGTGTCATTACTCCTGTTTCACTGATGAGGAAAAAGAGGCAACTTGCCCAAGCTTACACAAGCAATTAAATAATCATGAACTAGGACCCAAACTCAACATCTTCTCATTGCTACTTCACTGCTCTTTCCATATGACCTTTTCAACTCCTTTCATAAAGTTAATTCCATTATGTCACAGGCAATCTTCTTGGGCTCATTTCTGAATCTTTTCCACTCTCCTCCTTTTACAGTGGATCGTAGTGTAAATACATCCAGAGAGATGGGGAAGGAAATTGATTTTGGTTCTCTGGCTTTTCCCCAGGAAGTTATTTCTAACCAATTTGCCATTGTGTGAGTGTGCATGCTTTTCCCCTTTGCTAGGCACACATTTGTCATTTTTTTTCGTGTGATGATGGCTGAGCTGGAGAAGACAGTGAAGGGTCTTCAAGCTGGCACAGCAGCAGACCCGCAGCAGGTGGGTCAAATACTCCCACAAGGGACTCTAGGATACTTGGAAGATGCTGATTCTTCTATTTCTTAGGTTCAGGGTTTCTTCTTCTAAGCTATTTCCTTTGAGTTACTGAGATCTGGGATTTTTTTCCAAGGGATCCCTGGTTTAATTTCTCTTCCTTCTAACTGGAGGTGAAGATTGAGCTTTGTTTTTTCTGGCTAATGCCCAGGAAAAGCTTGGGCTGCTCTATAGGCCTTAGTTCTAGAAATAATGTCTTACCTGCCCAGTAGTTTGCCCTTGTGAACTGGTATGAGGCAAACAGGGCTATTTGAGATGCTGTATGCTGGGCCTTGGCAGCTCACTAACCAGATGAGCTTGACAGCTGAGAGTAAGGGCTAATGTAGTGAGTCAGGGAGGCCTCAAAGTTCTGATGGCCAATAGATATGTTGCAGAGGCTTTTATCTACCTAGAAATTATGGAAGAGGAAACCTCTTTGCAGAAGATCTCTCTCTATGACATACCCTGATGCTCTCACATGTGCAGTCCTCAGAACTGTCCTGTGGGTACACTGGTTAGCACATCTCTTTGGGAGGATAATTAACTTAAATCTCTGAATAGCTATGTAATTCAAGAGCTGTTTATTAGTGGGAAGTACAATAAGAGAAGTGTTTGGCTGTGATTCAGACGTACCTGTATATTTGGCTGCCCCCAGATTCATCAGGAGAAGCTCCTCTACTGGAACATGGCTGTTCGAGACTTCAGCATCCTCCTCAACCTGATAAAGGTAAGTATGGAGGCCCCTTGGCCCATCTTACTGGTTCACTGCAGAAACCGAGTCCTAAGTTCCAAAATGGACTCTTCTTCCTTCTCTCCACACCTTTCCTTATGGACTTGTTTTTCCCATCTTTTTCCCTTGTCCCCCTCCTCATCTTGGATAACCCCTTCTTGTCTCCTTAGGCAATGTCTTTTTTCTTCTCTTAACTTACTCCCTCCTACCTATGCTATATATTTAACTACTTAATGGCTCCCTGCATGTGTCACTCCCCCACATAAATTTCACCTTGGCTTGGTCCTCTGTGATCTGATTACATTCCCTGCTACATCCCCTCACAGCCGTGCATGCCTTCTTTATTCTTCAAGCACACACTGTACTCTCACTCTCTCCGTGATTTTGCTCAGGCTGTTCCCCCAGCCTAGAATGTCATCCTCCCTCCTTTCCTCTTCTTTTATCCACTTAAGCCTTCAGATCAAGTTTTGGACCTTTATGATGGCATCTTTTTAACATGCCAGTTGGAATCAATTTCTTTTTCCTTTTTGCTCTCTTCTTCCTTTTCTTCAACATTAGTTATGGTCTTTACTTAACTCTGTATTTTAATTAATTTAAGTGTTGACATTTCTTTTCCTCCACTAGATTCCACTTCTTTAACAGCAGGGATGGCCTTCTTCATTTTAGAATTCTCTCCAGCGCCCAGAGCTGAGCTTCACACAATGGAAAAGAAGCTAGGGTGCTCAGAAAAGCAGACCTTAGCTTTGGTTTCTTGCTTTCACTTTTCTAGGTGTTTGACAGTCGTCCTGTTCTGCATGTATGTTTGAAGGTGAGCAATTTACCAAGACTTCTTTATTCTTTATTCTTCCTGTGCTCTAGGAGAGGGCATCGGTGAGATGAACTGCTCAATACATTGCCCACAAGCCAGAATCTCCAGAATTAATGCTAACAGGTGGTGATTTAGGGAAGGCGATACTGGTTACAAGAATGGAGAAGGCAGTATCCTTATGAATTTGGAAATTCTTGACCAGAGTTGTACAACTCAAAGAAGTAGCTTTAGGGCACTTGGGTAGGGGAGCAGTAACCACCCTCTCTGCTACTCCTACTCCTTCCAGGCAACAAGGTGGAAGGGAGTGGATAATTCCTCTTTTTAAAAAAATTGTTATAAATACATATATATAACATATTCCTATTCAACGTTTTTTCAGCTGTATAATTTTGATTCCTCTTTTTAAAGCCCATGGGGTAGCCTCTTAAATGTGGGAGCTGATAGCCTGATAAGTGCCAAACTCCTCTCCATGGAGATGCCTGGATTAGAAATAGAATTGAGGTAAACTAAATGGGTTAAGAGCCAGGGAATGTTCAGGGGAGAATGATTCTTCTCCATTCCTGATGTTTCCTTCTAAGTGATGGTACCCCATCATTATGATCTCCTGGCCTCTCTCTTCCTCTTTACTCACTTCACCTTGGTGCTGGTGCAAGAGGTAAATAAATGAGTTGGGGGTGATTTATCTGATTGGTAAATTCAAGAATTGGCCATGTACTTCCTCACCTCTACCTAGTTTTCTCCTTTTAGCAAGTAAGTTGTCCTTGGGGAGCTGGAGTTCTCCTTTGCTCCTATATGCTATCATTCTTAAGCTGAGCAGGCCAGCCCCTGTCCATTGGCTGTAAGTCTACCTAATTCTGGGGCTTTAGTTAGCAGGCCCATGGAGTTTTTGCATTAAGATAGATTCTCCAAATTAATCTTTTGTTCCCCGCCCCCAATTTATTTTTTTCTATATAATAACATAAAATCCCTGGGCTGGGTGATGCTGTGCTGCCACAGACAGGGGCCTTTCAGGTGAGAAACCTCAGCTAGATGTCACCAAGTTCATCACAGTGTCTCCTCTGTTCTTCAGTATGGGCATCTCTTTGTGGAAGCATTTCTGAAGCAGTGTATGCCGCTCCTAGACTTCAGTTTCAGAAAACACCGGGTAAGATCTGAAAGCCAGAGAGCTAGGATGTATTCTGTACAGTTGCCTGGCAGATAAGTTCATGGTGAATTCTGGGCTGGAGGTAGGGCAGTCCCCTTGCTCCAGTTTCTGGGCCCAGTCTATGTGGTCCACTTCAGCTATAGGCAGAGATGTTCAGTAGGACTGTATATTCTGCTGAGTGGGGCTAAACTCAGACCCACTCTGGTTCAAACCCACCTTCTAACATCTAATCTAGATCTAAGGATGGTGGTTCCTTCTAGTTGATTTTATTATGCTGATGCACTCCTATGGCCTCATGGATCTGTATGTCATTTGCTTTTTTTCTTTGTGCTTCTCTGGGTCTACTCTCAAGAGTAATTAGGAAAAAAAAAAAAAAAAACTCGTTTGTCTCATAAAACTCCTTGCTCTTGTAATTGACAGTTGTGAGAGTATTTTAGCCAAGTGGGACCCAGAACAAGTGTAGTAAAATGGGGATGGAAGCAGAGATGATGATTTCTGACACACATTTAGAAAGTTAAACTTTGCCAAACACTTTCACAATACTTGGTTGATTCCTCATAACTCAGAGAGAGGCAAAAGGAGGTACTCTATTCTAATGTTGTAGGTAAGAAACTGAGGCATAGTAACCTACTAAAATCCAGGTCTTAATCACTCTCAGATTTACATTTTTTTCCATTACCCAAGGAACAAAAATGAGACGATTGAGATGGCAGCTAGCCAACACTCCTCCTACTGTTTGAGGACCAAATTAAGATTATTAGCAGTATAACAGCTAGAACCTACAGAGTTTATCCTCTTGGAAGCCCTTGGTTATGAGGGAATCTTGCATCTGAAATGAAATGCAAACACTTCATGCAGCATAATGAATTTTGTTCATTATAGGAAGATGTTCTGAGCTTATTGGAAACCTTCCAGTTGGACACTAGGCTGCTTCATCATCTGTGTGGACATTCCAAGGTAAGAGAGAAAGTAGGTGCATCCCTAGCCTTCCTATTTGCTTAATCTGCAAGTGCTCATGGAGGATCCTAAGCTTCATTTATTTCTTCCTTTTTACCCTTCTTGAGCCTTTGTATCTGGGGCTGTGTCTGTCCAAAGGCACTTGTTGAGAATGGTCAAATCTTCAGTTGCTGCCTAAGATTAGAAATCATTTAGAGGGGAATTTCTGCATCTGAAATTTGACTTGAGCTCCATAGCCCTATTCCCTCTAGAAGCTCTGCTTTAGTAAGAGATACAGAATGCTGGTGGATGTATTACTGCTACAAAGCATTTTGTGTGGGAGGACTTTTATGTAAGTAATGACTCTCTGCTGGAGACAAGAGGTGGTTCTAAAAGCAACCATCTTGAAAGCTATTTACTTCTACTGCTTACTTGTCAAGGAACACATCTGCCTCTTATGAGAACATTTCAGCAGCATTAAAGGACTTAAGGGAGCTCTGGTAGCATAGTGGCTAAGGCACTTGACTGCTAACCAGAAGGCTGGCGGTTCAAACCCACCAGCCACTCCTCGGAAGGAAGGTTGGGCAATCCTACTTCCGTAGTGATACTGCCTCGGAAACCCAAGGAGGGGTCGCTATGAGTCGGGGCCGACTCGATGGCAAATAACAACAACAACAACAAAGGACTTAAAAACTTGAAGCCCTCTTACAGTTGATGAACCAGACACCCTTTGTCTAAAAGAACGCAAGACAGAAGCCGTAGAGTTCTGCACTGGCAAGCCAAATGATTCTTCAGTTTGTTCCTATTGCTCACTTCCTCCCTAGTTCTAAGTTTAGAAGGTGGAATTTTAAGGACTCTTCTCCTTCTCAGTTAAGTAGGACAACTCCGTTGCTTTATAGCAGCATAAATGTGTTTGAGAATTGTTTAGATGCCGCCTACTCAGTTTCAGCCTATAGTGACCCTGTGTACAACAGAACAAAACACCACCTTGTCCTATGCTATCCTCATAATAGCTGTCATGCTTGAGTCCCTTGTTGCAGCCATTGTGTCAATCCATCTAGTTAAGGGTCTTCCCCTTTTTCACTGACCCTCGACTTTACCAAGCTTATCCTTCTCCAGGGACTGGTCCCTCCTGATAACATGACCAAACTATGAGAGAGAAAGTCTCGTCATCCTCACTTCTAAGGAGCATTATGGATATACTTCTTCCAAGATAGATTTGTTTATTCTTCTGGCAGTCCATGATGTATTCAATATTCTTCTCCAACACCACATTAAAATGCATCTATTTTTCTTCTCTCTTCCTTATTCACTGTCCAGCTTTCGCATGCATATGAGACTGTGGTCACTAAAGTTGTATGTCATGGGCCTAATTGAGTGGCTGGGCAGCTGGATGTAGTTATTCCCCATGGTGAGATTGGTAATTAGCTCCATGGTGAAATCTGGAGCAGCTGAATAGCTGCTTTAGGGATTATGGGCTGCTTCCAGTATATAAGAAGCAACTTTGAGGAAGGTCTCCAGCTTTTTAGCACACTTGAACCCTGCATGTAGCCAAGTCGTCGTTCAGCAGCCTGCTCTGCCCTGCTGATCTTGAGACTTTTTCTGGACTTGAATTAGTGGCCTGCCATGTTGTTTGGTAATATCAGGACTGTGTCTTTTTACTTGTCAGCCTTGGGTTTATCAGCCTCAGCATCCAGCAACTGCCTAGGTGAAGAAAAGCCTCAAGCTTCAGTGGGCCGGGAGCAAGAGGCAGAGCTGAAGCCCAAGGTTGAGGGGCTTTCACCCAGCCCCTAGAGCCTGGCACTTTGAATTTGGATTTCTAGCCTCCAAAATTGTAAAAGAATAAACTGTTAAGGCCATCCCATTTGTGCTACATTCCTGTCAGAGTGGCACTAGGTAACCAAAACAGAGGCTATTGAAAATATGCCTTGCCACACTTCAGTCTTCAAAGTGACATCTTTGCTCTTTAACACTTCAAAGAAGTCTTTTGCAGCAGATTTGCCCAATGCAATACATCGTTTGATTTCTTGACTGCTGCTTTCAGGGCATTGTTGTGGATCCAAGTAAAAAAAAATCCTTGACAATTTCAGCCTTTTCTCCATTTATTGTGATGTTGCTATCAGTCCCCAAAAACCACTAAACTGCCATCGAGTCTAACCCAACTCATAGCGACCCCTCCTTGTTTCCAAGGCAGTATCACTATGGAAGTAGATTGCCCAACCTTCCTTTCGAGGAGTGACTGGTCGGTTTGAACTGCTAACCTTCTGATTAGCAGTCAAATGCCTTAGGCACTAAGCCACCAGAGCTCCTGCTTATTGGTCCAGTTGTAAGGATTTTTGTTTTCTTGTGTTGAGATGTAATCCATACTGAAGGCTGTAGTCTTTGATCATCAGTAAGTACTTTGAGTCTTCTTTGCTTTCAGCAAGCAAGGTTATGTCAGCTGTATATTGCAATATTGCAAGTCTACCTCCAATCCTGATGCCACATTCTTCATATAGTCCAGCTTTTTGGATTATTTGCTCAGCATATAGATTGAATAAGTATGATGAAACGATACAACCCTGACACACACCTTTCCTGATTTTAAACCATGCAGTATCCCCTTGCTCTGTTCGAACAACTGCCTCTTGGTCTATGTATAGGTTCCTCATGAGCACAATTAAGTGTTCTGGAATTCCCATTCTTTGCAATGTTATCCATAATTTGTTATGATCCACCCAGTGGAATGCCTATATATTGTCAATAGAACACAGGTAAACATCTTTCTGGTATTCTTTACTTTCAGCCAAGATCCATCTGACATCAGCAATAATATCCCTCGTTCCATGTCCTCTTCTGAATCTGACTTGAATTTCTCGCAGTTCCCTGTCAATGTACTGCTGCAACAGAAGCAAAATTTTACTTGTGTATGAGATTATATTGTTCAATAATTTCTGCATTCTGTTGGATCACCTTTCTTTGGAATGGGCACAAATATGGATCTCTTCCAGAGAATTGGCCAGATAGCTGTCATCCAAATTGATTGGCATAAACAAATGAGCACTTCCAGCATTGCATTCATTTATTGAAACTTCTCAGTGGGTATTCTGTCAATTCCTATAGCTTTATTTCTCACCAGTTCCTCCAGTGCAGCTTAAACTTCTTCCTTCAGTACCATCAGTTCTTGATCACATGCTGCCTCTTGAAATGGTTGAACATCAACCACTTCTTATTGGTACAGTGACTCTGTGTATTCCTTCCATCTTTTGATGCTTCCTGCATTGCTCATTATTTTTCCCATAGGATCCTTCAGTATTGCAACTCAAAGCTTGAATTTTTTCTTTAGTTCTTTCAGCTTGAGAAATACTGAGTATATTTTTCTCTTTTGATTTTTTAACTTCAGGTCTTTGCACATTCCATTATAATACTTTGTCTTCTTGAGCTGCCCTTTGAAATCTTAATATAGCTCTTTTATTTCATCATTTCTTCCATTTGCTTTAGCTACTTCAAGAGCAAGATTTTTTTTTTTTTAATTGTGATTTGGGTGAAAGTTTACAAAGCAAATTTACTTTCCATATAGCAGCTTACATGTACTTTGTCTCATGACATTGACTACAATTTACCACAATGCTACAACTCCCCTCCCACTTCCTCCCCATAGTTAACTCTTCCCTTTGTCCTTCCCTCTGTGCACTCCTGCCCCCTAAGCTGTCTCCCTGTGCACACACAGCCCTTCTATTCTCTCATGATTGTTCTCTCCAAGGAGCATATCTCCCTAGTGTAAATGTTCACCTCATATGCCTGTCTTTTATTTGACTGGAAGCCACAGGAGTGGGTTCAGTTCTAGATCTGAAGGGCAGCTGGGGGCCATAGTCTCAGTGGTTCTATCAGGCTCTATCAGACTAGCAAACCTGGTCCTTTTTTTTTTTTTCTAAATGATTTTGAGTTTTGTTCTACATTGTTCTCTCACTCTATCCAGGATCTCCTACATAGATTCCCCCTCCGAGTGGTTGACAGTGGTAGCTGGGCACCATCTAGTTCTGGTCTCATAGTTGTATAGGATCACATGGTGTACCATTCACTTGGACTAATTGTTTCCATGAATCTTTGGTTTTCTTCATTCTTCTTTGCTTCAAGAGCAAGTTTTGAGAGAGTCTCTTCTGACTTCTATTTTGTTTTTTTCTTTCTTTCCTGTCTTTTTAATGACCTTTTACTTTCTTCATATATGATGTTCTTGATATCATCCCACAATTCATCTGGTCTTTGGTCCTTGGTGTTCAGTGCGTCAAATCTATTTGTGAGATTGTCTCTAAATTCAGGTGGGATATACTCAAAGTTGTATTTTGGCTCTTGTGGACTTGTTTTAATTTTCTTCAGCTTCAATTTGAACTTGCATATGAGCAATTGATGTTCTGTTCCACAGTTGGCCCCTGTTCTCACTGATGATATTGAGTCATCACAATTATTGATATCATCTCTTTCCACAGATGCAGTTGATTTAATTCTTGTGTATTCCATCTGGTGAGGTCCATGTGTGTAGTTGCTGTTTACCTTGTTGAAAAATGCATTTGCATTGAATAAATCATTAGTCATGCAAAGTTCTATCATGTGATCTCCAGCATCCTTTCTATCACCAAGGCCATATTTCCCAACTACTGATGCTTCTTTGTTTCTGACTTTCTCATTTCAATCACCAGTAATTATCAATACATCCTGATTATATGTTTGGTCAATTTCAGACTGCAGAAGTTAGTAAAAATTTTCAGTGTCTCTTTTTTTTGGCTTTAGAGGTTGGTACATAAATTTTAATAACAGTAATATTAATTGGTCTTTCTTGTAGATATATGATTATTATCCTATCACTGACAGCATTGTACTTCAGGGTGGATCTTTCAGTGTTATTTTTGATGATGAATGTGATGCCAAAATAGCCAATACCAGTCCATTTCATCTCACTAATGCTTAGGATAGGAGCTCTGGTAGCATAGTGCCGCCTAAGGCACTTGACTGATAACCAGAAGGCCGGCAGTTCAAACCCACCAGCCACTCCTCGGAAAGAAGGTTGGGCAATCTACTTCCATAGTGATACTGCCTCGGAAACTGAAGGAGGGGTCACTATGAGTTGAGTCCGACTCCAAGGCACATAAGAACAGCAGTAATGCTTAGAATATCAATCTTTATGTATTCCATTTTATTTTTGACAACTTCTAGTTTTCCTAGATTCATACTTAATACATTCCACATTCCAGTTATTAATGTATGTTTACAGCTGTATCTTCTCACTTTGAGTCATGCCACATCAGCAAATGACAGCCCTGAAAACTTTACTCTGTCCACATCATTAAGATTTACTCTACTTTGAGGAGGCAGCTCTTTCCCAGTCGTATTTTGAGTGTCTTCCAACCTGAGGGGTCATCTTCTGGCAACATAATCGGACAGTGTTTTACTGCTATTTGTAAGGTTTTCATTGGCTAATTTTTTCAGAAGTGGATAGCCTCATCCTTCTTCCCAGTCTTTCTTGGTCTGGAAGCTCCACTGAAACCCACCTACCATGGGTGACTCTGATGGTATTTGAAATACCAGTGGCATAGCTTCTAGCCTCACAGCAAAACACAAGCCACCACTGCTGACAGACAAGTTGTGTATGTTTAAGAATATTCTGGGTAAATTCATTGATTGGTTAATAAGAATTTAGGAAGAGGAATTTGAAGGTGTTGGTGGTTTACTTCTGGGCTTTTGGAGTTTTTTTAGCTTGAAGGACAGCTGCCATTCTCTTCAGGGTACTCTACCAGACTACTAATTTTGATGGAACATATGTTTGGCAGGGTGTATGCACTTATTGAATGTTCAGGGTGTCAAGAATTCAAAAGTTTCTTTACAGGAAATATGTAGGCATGATGATGAACCCAGGCGGGTGCATGTGTTCCTACTTAGATTCACCAGGACATGGGACTCACCAAACATGTGCCTTTGCTCAAAAAGACCCTAGAGTTGTTGGTTTACAGAGTGGAAGCCATGCTTATCCTCAACAATTGCCAGGAGGCTTTCTGGCTGGGCAATCTCAAAAACCGGGACTTGCAGGTAAGCCTGGGGCTCAGATAATGTTCTTAAACCTTTTCACCATACCATCCCTTCAGCCTCTGTATGGCCATTCGTATTTGGTGTATCGGTGCTCATACATCTTAAGGTATTTGGAAACTTTTAGAACCATAGTCAACATTGACTCCAAGAATCACTAATACAGTCTGGCCTTATAAAGTCTTGTATGATATTAGAATACAAAGATGGACCTTTTTAAGAACTGCTTATTACATCAGAGTCATGGGCATGTCAGAAACCTTGAGCTGAATATCACTTCTTCAGACACTGAGCACAAGTTGATGTCCATGTTTGGACTATGTTTGAACAGCTACACTATTTTCCTTTGTTCTTCTTGTAAAGTAAACCTTTCTCCACCTGTTTGCCTTTCCCATTTCTTTGGAAAATAACTATACTTCCCTTTCTTCCCTTTGAGGCCCCACATGTGATCATTATAACCCACCATTTGTCTTGGTCCACATTTAGGGTGAAGAAATTATGTCCCAGAATTCCCAGGAGAGCATAGCAAATGAGAGTGAGGATGACACATCATCCCAGGTCTCCAAGGGCAAAGCAAAGGAGGTATCTGCAAACCACAACAAAGTGTGCCTTGATGGTTACTTTTGTTATTCTGATTTGGTAGAGACTACAGAACTTTTCCTGTTCATGTTGATAATCAAACACTTCTACTCCATCTCCATTTCCTCCAAAAAAAAGATTATGTGCTTATATAAATTCTATTACATGCTCATAAAAAACAACCACACAATTTTATAATCATTTTTTAATATCTCAAGTTGTGGCACATCTTACAGAGTTGAAAATTCCATTCCATTGTAGCCTATTTCTCTTAAAATCATACCTGAAACCATTTTAGAGGGTAGAAAAGAAGGCACCAAGATATGAGTTTTGAGAAGAATGAGTTAAATCATTTAAACACGTTTGACATATAAAAATAGAAATGCTTTAACCAAAGCAGAAGCAAAAGCTGCCACCACTGAGGAATAAAATAGCATAGGAGATCCTTATTATTTCCTGGGATACAGATGCTTTTGAGAGTTTAAAGAAAGCTTAAAAAAAAAAAGTGTGCATTTATAAAATTTTGCTAAAATGTGGGTGGGCTATACACACCGAGAAGCTCAGATTTAAGAGCCCCTGCTTTGTAGCCTCTGTGCAAGTTGAGGCTGATGCAGAAAGATCATTTCGTAAAAAAAAATTATTTTATCACATGGTCCTCTGATGATGGTTTTATATGTATACTATACCTCTAGCTTGTTTCCATAAAGAATTTAAAGCAGACAATATCCTATTGTAATGTTTGGTACTTTTTGTTAAATAAATCTCTTAGATTAGAGTAGCAGATCAGATGGAATTTTTTACTGGATTCTTGCTGAAATACACTGATACTTTTTAGTTTAGCAAACCTTTCTATACTGGATGCCTGTTTTCTTCCTTTGTCAAATCCGTGGAGTAGAGCTGGAGAGGACCATGGCTTATTTAAAAGACAAGCAAATTTGGTTTAGTTGTAGAATATTATCATAAGTCAGTATCAAAATGGTTTCCCTCCATGGCCTTGGGTTAGAAGTCATGATGTCAAGAAGAATGAAGGAGAGACTCTGATTCGTTTTACAAATTAATTGTTTAAAATGTGTTATGGATAATTATTTCTGTGTCCTGTGGGAGCAGGTCTCCCAGACCTAATGACTTAAATATTTAACTTAATTACCTTTTGCCTCTTAGGATGAAGAAGATGAAGGAAGTGGTGAAGGAAAAGAGCAAGATAGTGATGAGAGTGATGAGTCTGATTAGACCTCAGAGACTGTTGTCATCTCCTCCCCATTTCTACCAGCCTCCTACCATTTTGTGTTATGGCTTTGAAATCTGCTATCTGTCTTTCCAGTTAGAAACATTCTATTTTATCTTTAAAGAGGGGACTTTTCTGAATCAACTAAGTTACGGATTTCATAGATTGTCTGACATCGCCAGAGACCCTGACTCAGGATTCCAATGTAGCACTGCTTAATGGTTTGGCTGAGTGTGGCAGTGGTATGTCGCAGAGTGAAAACTTGGTTTAGCTAAGCTTTGGCACTACTTTTGAAACTCTTTGATTTATCCTAGAATTTAAGCTCATACCAGTTTTACAAATAAATTTCCCTTTTAAGTTTTGCCTTAGCTACCTCATTTCTCTTACTGGATTTCCTTCATCATTCAAGGATTAGACGGGCTTGAATTGGGGATTGGGTAGAGAAATAATGGAGACTTATACCAACACATCACTTCTACATATTGAAATCATGTATTTCCTACTCTAAAGACCATCTTTGAAATGAGAAGATCTCTGTGATAGTTTTGGAGGAGTTACATGAATTTCTTATCAATGCCCAGAGAATGTCAACAAGGAATCTTGTCTACTCGGTTTTTCTTTTTGCATTGTGTTAATATAATACAGAAGGGGAAAAGGCAGCATCAAACTCATGTTGACTTTGTGTACATATAAGGTTTATTTCAGCATTATTCTGAATTATACCTATAGTTACAAGAATGTAACTGAATAACTTCTAGTTTATTAGAAATAGACCATTAGGAGTACACTTCAGCTATAATGGGGAACTCTGTCTTCTGATAGAAAGCCCAGCACCAAGTTCTTTCTTGCCAAGCTGTAAATACTGTTAAATATTTGTTACTATTTCTACCCACATTTTTATTATCCAGTGATATTAGGGTATGGCTTGTTGGGTGTTTTTTTTCCTGGTGGGGGTAGATACTTGATTTTTCTTTTTTTAAATAATCCTGGACTCACATTAGATTTTTGACCTCCTTCATCCTCTGGTATATAGAAATGCATATGTCCCCTTCCTGGATACCACTTTTTCTTCCCCTAGCTGATTGTGGTCTTAGGTGTTTTAAGTGAAGTCACACTAGGCTCATTGGTTTATGTAGTTTATTTAATGGCTCTTTATCACATGTACATGTTAATGTTTGACTCTTTCAACGATTGTTCAACTTTACAAGGGAATTGTTCTCCCTTGCTCTGTGTCACTGGCTCAGTATTGGAGGAAAGGCAGGAAAGGGGCTTCTGAATTGTCACTGCTTGACAGCAAAGCAAGATGGCTGGGCTGGTGTCACAGTTTTGTTTACATGAGCAGGTTCTGCAAGCTTCAGGCACATACTAAAGGCCATGGTGTGAGAACTGGGAATCAGGTGGAGATCCTTTACTTGGAGTGTTGCAAGGCGAAGGTGCACTTCTTATATGTTGCATACAACAAGAGGATAGAGCGCAGCATCTGTTTGCACATAGTCACAGTCATCTGAATCTGAGGCTCCTTAAGTCCAGTGGGCCACCGGTGCTCCTGACTGATGATTTTGCAAAAGGCTGACTTGTCTGAAACTCTGAAGGTCCCAGTCCACTTTGGTGGCTGAACAGTGATGACCCTGCCAAAGACAGAATCTACTCCACTGAGACGGACAGGTTGGGGCTTCCTAACCAGCCCTTTCTTGTTGTTCATGGTTCGGAACTGTGACGTGTGGCAGGGTAACTTGGGACTCACTCCAGTTTCCAGAAATGGGCTGTCTAGGACTAGAGTGACCTCTTGAAAACACAGCTGCACTTCAAGGTCAGAAGGAGTGTGTGGGAAGCAGGGGGAGGCCCTGAAGGGGTGTTTAGAAGAAGGTGTAGGTGTTGTATGCCGCAGCCATTGAAAGCTCTCATCCAGTGGGGTCCATGGTGACCAAAGCTGGTATCCCGCCATTGACAGTCCTAAAGAAGAGGAATCAGAACATTGAATTCCCCTGACATGCTTTTGGTGAAGACATGGCTGATCAAATTCACATCTTTGCTTCGTTAATAATTTAAACTTACTTTGTAGTTTCAATGAACAAATTCCTGTGTTGAAATATTAGTAATTCTATACAGGGGTCGCTATGAGTCAGGGCCGACTCAATGGCAAATAACAACAACAACAACAACAACAGGGCAGTAGGGTATGGTAGCTAGTGTTCAATCTAGCAACTGCTATGTGTACTAAAACTTTATTAAACCTTATCACAACCTACCTATCTGAAGGTAGGTTTAACCCCATTTTATAGATTAGGAAGTGAATTTGTCTGAAGTACACTATATCCCAGTCTATCTTTATGGCCACTGCTGTGTTGATAACAGCTAAAGACAGAATCTACTCCTCTGAGGTGGTGGAGGCTGCTGGAACTTCAGAATTAAACGTTATTTGTAGTTGTTGTTGTTGTTATGTGCCGTCAAGTCAAACCCGACTCATAGCAATCCCTCCTTGGGTTTCCGAGGCAGTATCACTACGGAAGTAGGATTGCCCAACCTTCCTTCCAAGGAGTGGCTGGTGGGTTTGAACCACCAGCCGTCTGGTTAGCAGGCAAGTGTCTTAGCCACTATGCTACCAGAGCTCCCTATTTGTAGTTAGAGGCTCAGAAAGACATGTCTTACCAAATATTTATAACTCTAAATCCCATCTACTCTTCTTTACACCAGTGATTCTCAGAGTACAGTCCCTGGACTAGCAGTTTCAACTTCATCTGGGAAGTTTGTAAGGTATGCAACTTTTTGGGCTCCACCTCAGACTTAACAGAATCTAGAATCTCTAGGGGTGGGATCTTAACATTCTTCGTTTAAATACACTCCAGGGGATTTCTATTTGCCTTATAGTTTAATGACTTCTTAGGCTTCTTCTTTTGAAGAATTCCAGCTTTCACTATTCTTAACAGAGACCATCTCTTCTCGGCCCTAAAAGCCTCAGTGTTTTCTGACAAAGTGTGCAGCTCTTTTTCAGAGTCCTGGTCTACCTATGTACCACCTCAGAGAAATTACACCAGGCTGGGAGGAAAAAAAAGTTTCCAAAGTCCAGTCCATAAAAATTTTAAGATTTTTCTAGGTATGTCTTTTTCTCATCTAGGAGAGACTCACCTTGGGTTTAAGACCTTGGTTTATTTCTATTTTCCTTTTAAGATAATTGGCTAGGAAGATAATGCTAATTCAGAGATGTTGCAAGTAAAATTGGCATTTCACATCATTATACTTCACAATTGCTAGTATATAAAGGTTTTTTTTTTTCTGAATTCAGAAGAGCTAACATTTTGAGCACCTACCTATATGTTAAGAGGCAAAGCAGATCTCTTCTTTACAGCCAAGTGTATTCCTCTGTCCCTTCTCTCTTCTCCCACAAAAGGTAACAGCAGCAGATCTGATCCCATCCCATTCAGTAATTGCCCCAGAAGTGCTGTGAAAAGTTGATACCTCCACCATAGTTCGTAACACAAATTATTGGGGG